AAAGAAAGAAAGAAAGAAAGAAAGAAAGAAAGAAAGAAAGAAAGAAGCCAGCTCTTGTCAAATTGGAAAATGCCAGATGCAGTTGAAATACGATTGAAGGAGCCATTTAAATGCTAACAACTCTATTTCAATAAATATAGAACAAGACTATGTGGGCTGCAGAAATCTCTATGTATGGAAGGAAGGTAAATGCACAAAAATATGCAGACTGTTGCCTGAACGGCTTACGTAAACAAAGTTTTTGCTTAAGATCTTACAAAGAGGAATAAAGCCGCACCTGGAGCTGAATATAAAAAGCGGAATAAGCTGCTTTCAGACCATGGCGATAGATTCAAGACACCTGGTGAAATGGAGAAAGCAGGAAAATTCAAGACTTCTTTCTTTCTTTCTTTCTTTCTTTCTTTCTTTCTTTCTTAATTGATTCCTTTTAAGGCCTTTGGTTGCATAAGTCGTAAAGAATACGTGAGGCGCATTAAAAAGAACATTCCAGAACCTCTGATTCTTCTTCTGAGGAATCTGAAGGAAGAACTGGAGTTGGAGAAAAAAGAGAGGAAAAAGAGAGGAAGGGAGAGGAAGGGAGCGGGATTAAAAAAAAAAATCTTTATTTTACACTGTTTCCCCAAAAAGATGACCTACCCTGAAAGTAAGTCCTAGCTTGAATTTTTTTTAAACGTGCGCCCAAAATAAGCCCTACCCCCAAAATAAGCCCTAATTAAGATCCCTCCCAATCCACAATGGACAGGTAAAAATTAAGCTAGGGTGAGTTTGGGGTGTGTGGAGCTGCCCTACTACTTTCCTTTGGACAGGTGTAAGCCAGGCCTTGCATCCCCCGATACCTGCCTTGCTGGCTCATTTCTTCTGCAGCCGGCAAGGCTGGCAAGGCTTTCCTGAAGGCCTCTGGAGCTGAGAATAAAGCTCTGGATCGATCCAGAGCTCTGTTATCCATCGCAGAGGCCTTCAGGAATGCCTTGCCAGCTGCAGAAGAAGTTCCTGAAGGCCTCTGACAGCGACAAGGAGGCCGGGAGTCACGCACGCAAGTGAGCTTCGTCAGTGGATGACATCCCCCCAAAATAAGACCTGGTGCCTTTTTGGGGGGCAAAAAAAATACAAGACAGGGTCTTATTTTTGGGAAAACACCGTATTTATCGATCGGTAGTCCTTGACTTACAACAGTTCATTAGTGACCATTCGAAGTTACGATGTCACGGGAAAAAAGCAACTTATCACCGTTTTTCACACTTACGACCGTTGCAGAATCACATTGATCACGTGATCAAAATTCAGACACTCGGTAACTGACTCACAGTTACGACGGTTGCACCGTCCCCGGGAGGGGTCATGTGGTCCCCTTTTGCAACCTTCTGACAAGCCAAGTCCACGGGGAAGCCAAATTCACATCATGATCACGTGACTCATTTAACAACAGCAGTGATTCATTTAACAATTCTGGCAAGAAAGGTCATAAAAGGGGCAAAACTCACTTAACAAATATCTCACTTAACAACAGAAATTTGGGGCCCAATTGTGGTCTTAAGTTGAGGACTTAAGTGAGTTCTAGTCCTGCCTCAGGCATGAAAGTCACCTGAGTGACTTTGGGCCAATCACCAGGAGACTGTGAGTCCTAGTCCCACTTTACACATGAAAGCCAGATAGAATAGAATAGAATAATGAATAAGAATAGAATAGAAAATAGAATAGAATAGAATAACAGAATAGAATAGAATAGAATAGAATGAAGAATAGAATAGAACAGAACAGAATAAGGAATAGGAAAGAATAATAAATATGAATAGAATAGAATTCTTTATTGGCCAAGTCTGGTTGGACACACCAGGAATTTGTCTTTGGTGCAAATGCTCTCAGTGTACATAAAAGAAAAGATACATTCATCAAGAGCCAAGAATCATCAGGTACAACACTTAACAATAGTCATAGGGTACAATAAGCAATCAAATCAGAGAGAGAGAAAAGAGAGAGAATGAGAGAGAGAGAGAGAGAGAGAG